TTACATCGAACTGTAACTTTGTCATCTTTACATTGATATTAGATTTGCTGGACGAAGAGCGTGCATACATATTGAGGCGATCATGCTTATTGCCATTGAATTCATTGCACGGCGTACTGTTTTCTGGTCAGCTACTCGATGCGTTGCTGTGTCGGCTGCTTAAACTAGTTGATGGAGATGCCCTCCAATCTTGGGGGCAAGGTAGTTAGATTTTCTGTACGGGCGAAGAAGCAACCCAGGCCCGTATTTCGAGATACCAGAGGCTGTTGAATGAATATTTTCACGGTCAGACGGCTATCACTCCGGGGCAGTTGGTAGATGCATTCAGGGCATGCAAGGATATGTCTGATAGGTTGAACCTGGGTATGGTGCTTATCCTCGAGAGCATGCTCAGGTGTCAGATGTCGATCGACGTTTTTCATTTGGAGGTTGTTGATGACATTGATACCTTCAACAGCTATCCTTGGGGGCAGAGATGTTTTGCAGATACCTTACGACACTTCAGAAGGGGATATTCGATGCCTAAAGGGAAAGACTCGAGCGCAAGTACGATGTATATGGCCTACCGTTGGCTTTGCAGGTAAATGTTCAACATAATGAATTATCTATTTTTTATATTAAATTTTATATATAATAATTGTAACTGTTGCAGATATGGGTGTACGAGAATGTCACCATATTGGTTGGCCGATATGCGAGGAGAGTGTAGACGTACTGCCCTCAAATTTATCAACGGCGAGCATAGGACAAGCCACTTGCAAAACAAATATCAGTTCTCCTCGACGATCCTGAGATACGTATTATACATTTTACAATTTATATTGTATGTCCTTTCAAAATATCAATACATAATCATTAACTCAGTAAAATGTCAATATGTTAGGTTGAAGTCCTATCTGAGTGAACCCCATCGAAAGAGGAGGAGGGTCAGAGTTACATGCATTCCTTGTCTATCTAGGACGCGTCAGATGATCAGTTGCTCGAGTCCATCGTTGATCGGGATAGGGTATGTTAATTCAATATAATATGTTGATTATCGTTTTGATTTTTGAATTAAATTAATAATTCGGACTATTATTTCTTAGGGGTGCTATCCAGTATCACCTCCGCCGTCGAGATCACATCCGTCATCAAGGGCCTCACCATCACCGTCGAGGGAATCACCGTTATCGTGGGCCTCGCCACAGTTGATGTCATCACCCCCGTCGATTAGGTCTCTTTCTCCCTCGTCCACTGTTTTGTATGGCCGCCTATTGAGTTTATACAGGCTTAGATGGGCGTGATGCATCGAGAGTTGGGACGGTAGGTCGACAATCAGTATGCTAGATTGTCATTCGAGATGGGCGTGATGCGCCAAGAGTTGGGACTACAGGTTGACAATCAGTATGCCAGAATGTTGGAGCAGATAGGCAAGATGCGACGAAAGCTCAGGGGACAGATCGACAATGTATATAATGATGTTCGAGTTCTACGTCGCCACATGGTAGATTTGTAGGGCGAGATAGGAAACCTTCAGACTGAGGTCATTACGTTATGGGGCAACATAGCAGCCCCACGAGGGTCGGTAGTCATCAGGATAGAGGGGGTAACGATGGAGTGAGATAGATGGGGTATGATGATTTGTCGTAGCCGGGGGGGAAGATTACGACTCATTTTTTGATGGGGTACCAGAGGAGGGGGTACCGACGGAGGTCGAGGGAGGTACCAATGAAGGTAAAGAGGGTACCGATGGAGTCTGAGGGGGTACCGACGGAGGTGGAGGGGGTACTGATGGAGTTCGAGAGGGTATCGATAGAGGTAGAGAGGGTACCGACGAAGTCCGAGGAGATACAAGCAGAGATGACAGATAGGGTACCGACGGAGGCAAGGGAAATGCGAAGGACGTAGTTTTTGTGTGGGAGGGGACTACGGAGCTGTTAACGTGACACCACTGGTGGTTGGTAAGAGACTGAGATTACCATCACAATACATTGTTTCTCCCTTCACTGCCGAGGAGAAGAGAAGGAAGTTCTTGGATGGGACATTCCCCAATCTCTTCCACAAGGTCGACCCAGTTCGGCAGAAGGCGTTCTATAAATGATTTAAATCTTTTCAGCATGAGTAAGTATTTTATGATTTTCCTAAAGTACACATGAGATCATCTATGCATTTTGTAACAATTCACTTTTTTCATTTTTTAGGGACAACTATAAGATTGGGGTGATCACCACCTCTACCGCGAAGAAGTGGTTCGACGATGTACTGACGAGAGTTGCTTGGCTCGCCAATGATGTAAGTGTATTATCATTGTTACTTGTTGTTTTAATGACGAACTCTTTTTTATTGGTGTTAGCACATCGACTTGGTTATGGAATTGTTACGCGATCGAGCTCGGAGACACCCGAGATCTTTTGACAGTCCTAGACGAGTCATCCTTAGCTCCGGGTTCGTACGTGCCATTGATATTGAGCATAGCACACTCTTACTCTAAGGAAATGGATATGTGATGCCCGAATACATGTTGGAGTGGGTCATTGGGCTGGAACCGACATATGAGAAGTCGTTGACGGATTGTACATATATGTACATTCCAATGATCGTGAATGCACCCTGCTTTGCAGTTGAGATCGTATTCGCGAAATCGACTATATATGTGTGCGATTCCAACCATAGTTGTTTGACCCAAGGCCAACTGAAAGAGATACTAGAGCCGATGATTGTGATCATTCCCATGATGGCTAGACATGCGAATATTCAAGTAAATGACAGATTAGCCATTATGCAGGACACGACGATGACGAGACAAGGAGCATCATAAGAATTTACAAGTTTTTAATTTGAAAATTTAGTTTTTAGCTATATGTTATCGAACTAATATATTTTTATTTACTTGTAGAGATGATTGTGGGATACTCAAGATAAAGTATATAAAATTTTTGAGTATTAATCACAAGGTTGATATAATAAATTAATTTTTGATAGACATGTGGAGGTTGAAATTAGCTTGTGATTTGTATGAATATAATTGTAATTGTTAGTACATTGTGTAATTATGTAATTAATATACACTATTTTATTTAACTGTTTATTTAATATTCCATTAATTATAATTAACTATTACATAAACAATATTTAATGTAAATAAAATTAATCAATAAATATAAATGATGTTATAAATTTGAAAAAGTCATACCATGCACCCGTTTGACCCATATTTTTTATCCGTAAAAATGAAAAATATGACCGTTTTCCATCACATTAAAACATCAATTTTGAATTTTTATCTCTTGTGTGGGGCCCAATAACGACTATATTTTTCATTCTCATTCTATAATAAGGTGGCTCAAACAGGGCCCATATATGTGTAAAAATTAGGTAGCCTATTTTGTGTAATATCGTCTAACATTTTATTTTATCGCAAATCCCCCTAAATAGTCTAAATTTGTGAAATACAATATTTTCTCTATAAAACCTTATAAAATGATAAATGTGCCCTCATCTTTAAATAAATGAAAAGAAAAGATGAAAAAAATAAAAAATTAATTATAGTCAAAGTCCCAAATCTTTCAAAAAGTGCAACCTTGCCAAAATTTATTAAAATAGTAAATTTCAATTTGGAGAAAAAGAGCTAACTTTGGAGGCCTAAATACAAATTTTAGGTGTTACTAGAGTTTCAATGGACCCCAACTTCTATGGGTTCGTTAGGTGAAAAGACCAATATCGCTCATTTGAACTTAGTAGATATAATTTTTGAACGCATTTACACGACCTACAATTATTGAGGACTTTTGCAATAGAATTGGTTGGAAGATCTATGGTGTTGAGACTTGAGATGTTTTCTTCATCTTTATCAAATATATCGATTTTTCTATATGTATCCTATTTTTACATTCTTCATGATCTTCCATACTAGCAGGCTCTTCCCTTGGACATAATTCAAGGGAAATCTTGAGTTGTTCGGTTTTTTCTTTTTCTTTTTTTTTTTCAGATTATTTCCTCTTAAGCACAAGGGAAAATCAATTAATTGTAAATCAATTCCTCAATAATTTATATCAAACAAGAGACACCAAGGCATACAATCAGATGGGTACAACACGAGCTTTTTCTTGGTTATGCTATTTTTACTCTTCTCTCTCTATATAGCAGTGGAGTTTAACAAATAGTTAATTATTCTATCCCTAAACTTAGTCATTAATGAACCTAAACTGATTAACAAAGCCGATCAGAATTTGAGAGTAATCTCACTTCCATTGCTCTCTTCACCTTCCTCCTTTAGCACTGACCTTTTTCTCTCTCCATTTTCCACAACACTATCAGTTTTCCAGCTGCTACTCTCAGACTTCCCATCTTCCATGCTTTCAGACCGATAACCGGTTCCGCCCGGGACGTCCGACCCGGGGGAGTTATGTGCCTGTGCCTGTGATAGTGGTGGCTTATACACATGGAGCTGGTGGTGAATTGGTGGCTGTTGCGGCGTTAGTGCAGAGTAGAATTCTTGGGGCCCTGGTTGTGTAGCACAGTAAGATGCTGATACATGAGTAGAAGGGTGTGCGCCATAAAGGGCAGCCGGTGCACCCCCAGCATGGACAGCGGCTGCTGCTGCATAATCTTGTGGAACCCATATGCCTCCTAGGACCACCACCTGGGGACCTGCCGTGGCTCCTGCTTGTGGGCTGGGACTTGGTCTTCTAGTGTGTAGTCTGTACTTCTGAGTACAAAGAACAGACAACATAATAAGCAAAGTGCATAGTTTTACCAGTTCTTTTTTGTACTTATGTGCAGTAATGAGAATTTGAAAATAGGACAAAAGATGCCACATAATTTTGGTACTACAAATGTGTGTGTGTGAGAGAGAGAGAGAGAGAGATGTACCTGCAAATGGCTTTTTACTTCATCATTGGTCAAACCATCAACCTTCATGAGTTCTCTGATTTGTTTAGGCGTGGCCACTGCAATTATTATTATCCATAAATGATTAGACTCCTATGGTATATAAAGCTGATCAATCATTGTACTAAGAAATACAGAGCTACTCTGAGTAAACATGCAACGATTGTCTCCGTCCGTAAACTGGATGTTATTAAAAGAGTGTGGCTAGGTCCGTCTTGGGATTATTCTCGACATTAAAATTAGATTTTTAATAAAATTTAATAAAAATTGATGAAATGTGTGATTTAAAAGTTGTGGATCGCATAATATATATAGTTAAAATTAATTATTGACTTTGATTTATGTTAAAATTTGAATATTAATTTCTAGCAAACATGGCTAGGTCAATTACCTTGGGAACCACCTAGCATCTGAAGAGCATTCACAAAACGCCTGTGCAGATCCGGAGACCAGCATCTCCTTGCCTTCCGGTGAGTTTGCGCAGCAGTGGAGTGGTTGATTCCGGCGGCTTGTGAATCTTTAACTTGACCATTCTCGGCTGACGAATCACTACACTTACCAGAATTTTCTCTCCTAGCTTCTGAATTCGTTTTATTTTCTTCCATCTCCTTGTGGGATGAAGCAAGAGCTAAATCTGCAAAATTTGTTAAACTTGGGCTTGGACAAGAACTTCTAGAATCTTTTGAAAATGGATGAAAAGCTCCACCATTTCTCTGCCTGTCATCCAAACTTAGCTTGGAGCTAACTCCAAAACCCATATCACTTTCTCTTGGAGATGATTGTTGCTTTGTGCTTTCTTCATTTGATTGACTCCATAATTGTACAGAAGTCATCCAGTTTGTTTTATCAGACATATTTATAGCCTTTTCAATTCCTTCAGAACTTGTGTTTTTAAGTGGAATAAATTCTTCAAGAACTGGTCTTTGCCCTGCACTAGCTCTATAGGATTGAAGCTGTTGCCTTGATGCCTCCATAGCTGGTCAAAAAAATTTTATCATCAACTCAAAAGGCTACAAATGGGTATTTCTTGTTGATCTTTTTTCTGTGCTTTTATAAAAGTTTAAGATTATCATATTTGCTCATCTACAATAAAAGTCGTGCCCAAAAAAAGATATTTCTCACATTATTAAGATCAACCCCAATTTCAAAAGCCATGAATATCCATTTCAAGAAACTACGGGTAGAATATATAGAATATACATGTGCAGATGTAAGAAAATGAACTCAAACAAGAAAATGTGAATAGTATCAAAATGGATTGAAACTTTTTAAACAAGATGGTTAAAAGAGAAGGTACCATTGGTGATGAGTTGGATGCAAAGGGGAAGCTCACGTTTGAACGCATCAATCTTGAGTCTTTCTTCTTCAAGACGAACTAGAAATTCTTCAAGTTTTTTGGTATCAGAATCAGCAATCTGTTCTCCAAATGATTTAAGAAGCATGGAATGGTTGTAGGGTTTGCAGTCAAGGCTCAGTTCAGACGATGAAGTCATCATTTCTTCTCTCTATATAGAATACAATAATCTGTGTGAATATAATGTCGATCAACTTATAGTGATGATGATGATAAAATGAGGAACCCAAAAATGGTGGGCAATAAAGGGTGGTGTTGGCGGATTCCTTTCTGTGTTTGAAACCTAAATGGTGGGAGAGAAAGGGAAGGGATGTTGTTTGTGAAGACAAGAAGGATCGAGAGGGCCTGGGGGAGGGGTGGTGTACCTTTCTTTTTTAGGGTTGGGTTCGAGGAGAATAAAGCGGAGTTTCGGAGAGAGAAAGTAAGAAAAGAAAAATGGTGGGTTAAAGATGAATAAAGAGAAGGGATGGTAACTTCTTGCAAAGAAAGAGCAAAGGCAAAAGGCTATATTTATCTGTGAAGAAGTGGGGGTGTGGGCCACCAGGCTCAGCCTGACCTTTGTATGTTTCTCTGTGTCCCTGGGGCTGGGTGGGTTAGTCTTTGTAGCATTCAAAGCAAATACATTATGGAAAAATTAGATCGAAAGTTGTGTATTTTTAAAGCATCTTCAATGTTGGTGTAAATTTGAATGTAAATTGGTATCTTCAAAACCACTTTTACATTCCGGTGAATTTAAATTCAAATTCTACTCCAATAGAAATATCTAAACCCATTTTTTGCCTCTTGTGATATTAAATTTTCTGTCGATTTGCATCTCTTTGTTGGAGTGATTTTCGGCCACTTTGGAATATAAATTCTATTTTATAGCACCATTGGAGATGCTATTAACCTTCAAAAGTGGTGATTCGATTTTCAACTTATTTCAATTGATAAATTTGAATCTTCATGTAATGAAGACTATTGGGGTGAACATTGAAATTGCACACAAATTTCATGTGACATAAAGCAAAAACAACAAAATTTTAAGTAATTATTTGATAATTTTCCATTCAACTTTTAAGTTAAGATTTTAAATACGGGGACTCATAACCTTACATATGAAGGTCTATGACCATAACCACACCGCGAGAAAAGCTAAGAGCATTATCCTAGTATTTTCATAAATTTTGTATTAATAAAATTGAAAATAAATAAATTACTTAATTTAAAGAGGTTGTCACTTTAGTGTTAAATACATAATTTTTATACTTATAGACAAGTAAAAAGTAACATATTTGAGCTTATCTAGAAACAAAATTTACTTATGATAGACTTATTTTTAAGCTTGTGCAAACATGGATATGTAGATTCTTCTCTCTCCCATAGTCTACTTTTTCTTTTCCTTTTTACTCTTTACATTTGTTCCCACTTCCATTCATAATCAAATAAAGTTAGAACTAAATTAAGCTTTTAATAAAACTCATTTTTGCATAAAATTTGCATAATCCAAATGAAAGATGTTATTTTTACTCATTAATATCTTATAATTGGGTAACTCTCATTATAACTTTGTTCTTAGTTTCTAATTTCTAATCCACCACTCTATGTATGCAATTTAGATTGGACTATTTACCTTTAAATAAGGAGTAATAATGATTGAACAATGGCAAGAGAATTATACTAGTGGTACTTGAACTAGTAGTAGTCCTTGTGGGAGAGTTCTAAATTGTATGAATGATTCTCTCTCATCAATTCTTATACACAAAAGATGATGGTTTTAAAGGGCATATTCATACGCTATTTTTACCATTTCATATAAAACAAAAGAATCTATAAACGACTTTATTTAAAAGTTTAAACTGTTAACACGTTATACAGATTTTTCAGGTTTATTTTTTCAAGAAATCTAATACCTAATAGATAGCATCACGACTAAATTCGAGACATATTTTTACTATTTTTTAAATAAAAGGATGGATGAAATATTCAAATGGAGTAGAGTATCAAATGCAATTGAGCCACTTTCTTTTAGATTTCAAAAGTTGCATAATTAAAGAGAATTAAGAGAGGAAAAGCGAATATTTGAGACATTCATTAGAAAGAATAAAATATTTGGTTTGTAAGGAAGGAATATCTGTGTTCCAATTCTACGATTCTAAATTAAGGGCACAAAAACCCACGAAGATTACCCTTAGAAAAAGAATAATAAAGAGATGGAATCTTCCTCTGCTACCAACTTTAATGAAGTGGATTGGAAGGTAACAAGATTCTCATCACTATGATTTTACTTGGGGTTGTACAATCCCCTACCCTACCCTACTACCCCCTATGGATAGAAATATTCACAATTAGCTAAAATCTACATAATAAGCAAACACGTACACTATTGGATAATAATGGACAATATTATTAATGTTAAAATCCGTCAACCATCAAAATATACGAGAATCTTCAAATTTTGTATTTTCAAGATTTAGGGTATGTACAGTAGAATTTGACCCAACTGGTCCCCCTTCCCCGACCACGGATACAATATTAGACAGTACTAGACAATATTGTTGACTTCAAATTCAGAGAATTTTCTACATCGTTATGCATATTAAGAAACGATGATCCTTAATCAAAAGCTTATACTGACATACGTCAAGAAGAAGAGTGAAGATAGTATGAAGAACCTACAAAATTTATGATTAAATGTTTTAAAGTCGATATAATCGAATTGCATTTCAATGCATGCAAGTTCTTATTTAAGTTACTTGGACAAAACTAGAGCCAGAAACCTATTTACAAGCCTAAAAATTCATTACAATACTCTAATTCTTTTTTTTCGTCCATTCATTTAAAAACATATATATTACAAAGTAGACCATTTTATAACAAATCAAAGTATCAAAAAATAATACGTTCTAAATTACTTTAGACTTTAAAGATTAAAGTGATATCTTTTCCCATTCAATATCTTATGTTACAAATATATATGTATGTACGTAGATACACTATAAAACTGCACAAGAAAGTTTAAATTTTTGTACACCTTTATATGTAACAAAACTTGGAGTGAGATTTGCTTAGATACCACTAAATATGACATACAATTCAGAAAAAAAAATTTATAAAAACAATATAGCGTAAACATCGAGCTTAGCAATTGAATTTTTGAACGATATTTAGAGGGCTAACACTAGTCGTAATGAAAAAAATTGTCGAAAGTTGCATATCGTACTGAAGTTATATATACAATAAATGACGTGAACATAACTAAAAATCTTAACACGACTTCTCTGAAAATTATCATTTCTTCAGTACAAACTCAAAGTTGAGATAATATAGAAAAATATATAGTTGTACAACTTGCAATTATGAAAGAGATGCGAGAAGAATCCACAACTCTTAGTGTTTATCCGAAACACAGCCGGGATGGCTTTTGTTACACCTTTGGAGTTCAAATTTCGTAGTTTAAGAGAGAATCAAATTCTAAACCATATATCAATTAAAACATACAAATATAACCAAAAAATAAAACACAACTTCACTATTCAAAAATTAAGATAAAACACACGTTAATTTAACCAAAGAGTACCGATAATTCTCTGAGAATCCATAAATGTTGTGTGGTCGGAATGGATTTTGTTAGTATTTCGGAGTTCAAATTAATAGTTTATAATATTTTGGGGAGAGAGAGAGAGAGAGAGAGAATCTCATTCTCCTGCACAGTGCAATAATGATGGTTGGTCGCTTTCTATAATCAGTCTTCTCGTACAAGACTCCAACCCCCAACTTTTCTGCAGATTCTTTCTTTTCCTTTCTCTTTACTTTTTCTCATTCTTTTCTTTTCTACTAATTACATGTTTCTCCCACCTTATTCTTAAATTTTATATTTATGAGCTCCATTTTTTTTTTAA